ACAGTCCAGGGTGTGTCTCTTGCACGTGCATCTGGCCTAACTTAACACCAAAGTCCGATTCTGCGAGACCGAGTCCTGGATAGCCAAATGTTAGTACCCTTGAAAAAAAGATATGAGCCGTCCTAGCGCATACCTCGACGAGCCTTGACGACACGGTCAACCTTGTGACTAGTATCCATTGTTCCTAGATAGAACATCTTCACAATTGGACGCGCATTTTGTAATTCGGGCGTGTCATCGGGGGGCGGCGCAAACTGCTTCAGGACCTTCCTTCGAACCCCAGTTGCGGGTTGTTTCATCCGAACCACAGGACTGTAACCGAAATCACTCTCGACAAACAAAACAACCTCGTCATCATGGGTGAGAACTTCATTGCTCAGTACGACATTCAGCCACCGCTGCATAGACGACTTGACTCTGTGTTCATCCTCTTCGGTTCCAGCGCCGGCAGGGGTAAGTGGTGGAGGGACCGCGGGGACCAACGCTTCCGGATTAGCCGAAATCAGATGGTCCGCAAGCTTGACAAACTCGGCATGGGTGCGACGAACGTCTCGATACTGCGTTGTCCTGAATTTGGGGATATTCGTCTGGAGCCTCTTGTCAGTAGGCGCAGGGCGAGGCAAAGAAGGGCACCACTCACGTGAACATCGAATCGAAGAATAGGGTCCTTCTTGCCCGTTCTTTCTAGCCCCGTAACTTTCGCCTGGATCCTATACACAGGTGCAGGTTGTCTGGGATTCTGTCTTGGGCCCGTTTGATAGCGGGCGGGGAGCTGAGAACGAGGTTGTTGTCCATGCTGCTGCGGAGATTGTTGCGACTGCTCATCAGCATAGCCGGGCTCACCCAGGTGTGCACCCTGCAGTCGCGCAGACAAGTCAGGCGATCCAGTCTCGTTCTCCTGGAACCCAGGAGCTTCGGTAGGCTGCGATTCGGCATTGTAGGGATCTTGGGGAGGCAAGGGGGCAGGGGGGATGTCGCTAGTCACGGAAGCCGGAAAGGTTGTTTGTGTCGGGCGTGGTGAAGCCCAAGGAGAAGTACCCGCGGGATGATCAGGATCGTGTGATATGGCGGAGTAGTCCATCGTGGCTGTCTTGGTCTAATGGGACCACGTCTACACCGCGCTGCGGGCGCGCAATCATCAGTATTGTCTCGTCTGGTATGATTATCGTTGCGGATCAATTGGTGTTCACCTATTGGTACTCAAGAAAAACGATTGAGAAGAGGATAATGCCGAAAACTCTCAAGAATTCGGGCTTGACAAAGGAAAGGCCGATGCAAGCGTTGAGATGGGGGAGGGGAAACTGTTCAACTGAGCGGAACGGGATGGACTTCGGAGGTTACGTCGATGGTGCCTATGCAGCCTGATTGGCCAGGCATCTGCAGCCCCAGTCACTGGACTGCCGGAAAAGCTTCAACAGCTTCATCCATACTCCCAGTTCCTCCGCACACACTACCTTTGGGAGGGCTGGACCTTTCTCTTTTCTACATTATTGATCTTATTCCTAGTTGTCTTTGACGATGATTGTCAAGTTCTAGGTCCCACATTACACCAATTCGTTGTCTCCCATTGCATAGACAGTTTCCGTCCCAATGGTTACAGCTCTTTTCTTACGCGCCTCTCACCAGACGGTGCGGCCAACTGGCCTACGACAATGCCAGGCAGCTACCAGCCGTCTGGGATGTAATGCTTCCTTAATTCCAGGGGCCAAGAAGGGGCAATTTCCTAGGATCCAGTTGCTCTCATCGTCTGCATCCAAATTACAGGCAGACACCCTTGACCGAACTAGAAATATAGGCATCATTGCACATATTGATGCCGGTAAAACAACGACCACTGAGCGCATGCTCTACTACAGTGGCTTTACCCGAAGAATTGGAGATGTGGATGAAGGGTCCACCGTCACAGACTTTCTCCCTGCGGAACGCGCTCGCGGGATCACCATCCAATCTGCTGCCATCACCTTCCATTGGCCGCCTCAAGCAGCTGGTGATCAAATTGCAGCCGCCCAGGATAATCCTAAAACCCCAAGGTCTGCCACATCTCATACGGTAAACCTAATCGACACTCCTGGGCATGCGGACTTTACCTTTGAGGTTATGCGTTCTTTGCGCATTCTAGACGGGGCGGTGTGTATCCTGGACGGCGTCGCTGGCGTCGAAGCTCAAACGGAACGAGTATGGCACCAAGCAAGCACATATCGTATTCCCAGGATTATCTACATCAACAAGCTGGATAGAGACGGTGCAGCTTTTGGGCGTACGGTAAGAGAGATAAGCTCCCGGCTTGCGGGCTACCCCGCTGTCTGCCAGATTCCGTGGTTCGAGGGCGGAAATGGTCGCTTTGTTGGAGTTGGCGATGCGATCAATTTGCAGGGTCTCCGATGGCAAGATGGTGACGGTAAGGCAGTCAAAATGTTTAACCTGCAAGATCTGGACGGCGAGGAACCGGGGCTTGCACAGGAGATTCGACGCGCAAGGACAGCGCTTGTCGAGCTACTTAGCGAGCATGATGAGACTATGATTGAGAAGTTCTTTGAATATGACGAAGATCACCTCGCAGTCCCTCCCAACGACATTCTAGACAGCTTGCGCCGGTGTCTTTTGCAAGAACAGGGTAGAAAGATCATCCCCATCTTCGCAGGTGCTAGCTTCCGCAATATCGGTGTCCAGCCTCTCCTGGATGCCGTGACAAATCTTCTTCCCAGTCCCCTCGAAACACCTGACCCAGAGGTTAGCATCGGAGGCGTCAGCGGAGGTCTTCGGAGTCTACTTTCCGGCGATCTATTAATCAAGCAGAGCGAAAAGGCAGCCACATCCAAAGGGAAGCAGAAAAAGAAGAAGTCCGTCACTCAAGCCGAATCCCAAAATGCTATCGAGAAGCTTCAGAGCTGCGCGCTTGCTTTTAAGGTGGTTAACGATGCCAAGCGGGGAGTCTTGGTTTATGTGCGCGTTTACTCGGGCTCCCTGGACCGGAACAGTGCTATATTCAACACTAATCTCAATATCACTGAACGTGCACCGCGCCTGCTCAAGATGTACGCTAATGACGCTGTCGAGGTGGATTCCATCCCCGAGGGACATATCGGTGTTGTGGCTGGCCTGAAGCATGCTCGAACCGGAGATACACTGGTGTCATATGCAGGCAACAAATCAACACCACCCGAACCACTTGACACGCTCCAACTACGCCCTATCCAGGTGCCGCCTCCCGTTTTCTTCGCCAGTATCGAGCCACACAGCCTGAGCGAGGAGAAGAAGATCCATGAATGCCTGGCCCTACTCCTACGTGAAGACCCTAGTCTCCACGTCACTGTTGATGAAGACTCCGGGCAAACGCTTCTAAGCGGCATGGGAGAGCTCCATCTCGAAATCGCCCGAGACCGCCTCATCAACGACCTGAAAGCCAAAGCTACAATGGGCCGCATTGAAATCGGCTACCGTGAATGTCCGCTCGGAGAGTCGCCTGTCACCAGCAAAATCTTCGACAAGGAGATCGCCGGCCGCAAAGGCAAAGCCGGCTGCACGGCAGTAGTGGAACCTTTCGACCCGGACAACGCACCTCCAGTACCCGAAGACGCACTTTCAGTCGAAACCAAAGAGGGCAACCAGATCATCATCCTCGCCCCAGAATTGCAGGTAGAAACCAGCCGTAAAGGCATCGAGGAAAGCCCCATACTTCCCGCAGGCCTAGACGTATCCTCCTTCCGAGCCTCCCTTCAAAATGGCTGCCTAGCTGCCCTTGCTCGCGGCCCTCAGTTCGCTTTCCCTATGCACCACACTCGCGTCACGCTCACCATCAACCCAACCGAACACCTCTTCGGCACCGACACCACCCCAGCAGCTCTCTCCTCCGCAGCTCGTCTGGCCACCTCCGCCGCTCTCCGCGACCTCCTCTCCTCCGGCCCAGGCACTTCCCTGATGGAGCCCGTCATGAACGTGATCATCAGCATCGACGAAGCCAGTCTCGGAGCCGTCGTACACGACATTTCCTCCTCTCGCGGCGGTCATATCGTTTCCCTGGACGAAGAAATCCCCCTCACATCAACCGACCTCTCCGCATCCCCCCAACCGGTTGAAGACCTCCCACCCATCGACCCGAAGAAGGTCTATGCCCCCGCGGACCCATTCGAATCTGGATCCGTTGGTGCCTCCCTCCCGGACACCGCCAACCGACCCAGAACCATCACGGCAAAGGTACCTCTCAAGGAAATGGTCGGGTATTTGAAACACCTGCGCAGTCTGAGTGCCGGCCGCGGTACCTTTGTGATGAGCGTCGATCGGTTCGAGAAGATGAGTACCCCGCGACAGAAGGCTGTCTTGACGGAATTGAGAGGTGGTTTCTAGATCGACCTCTTCTATTACGTCACTTCTCTCTCTATATGCTGTATATTATAACTACATGGTTTGGTTAAGCCAAAATAGGAGATCGAAAGTGTGTAAGATATCACTTGACATCTAAGAAATCTTGGTTCTTCACGGAGTATTCCGGAATGCAGGGACCTCGAATGAGTAACTCTAGTATGCACCTGTCTCGTTTCGTTCCTTCCGGGTTGCAGCTGGCGTAGTGTGAACTTAATTCCAGGGGCTAAGGGTGGCTAAACCCCCTACCATCCCCCTCAATACTATTACGTTCTGCTTTTCCACCATTGCGATCTGTAGTGGGCAATTTACCGTGTATTGGGATTATCACGATAGATGGTGGGTGTAGTTCTCAGGGGCCTTACTTAAAAGGTAAGGCCAGGTTTGTTTTCACTATGTGCAGAATTCCTACCGCCTACCCAATATAGATGTATTTTTTTCGCATGAGGCATTATGTTACTGCCTGAGGTGTAAGACCGCGACCTCGGATCAAATTCAGAGTGAGGTTACTTTGAGGGGACGGTGAAGTTTTGCTGGCTCAGAAGTGAGTCTTACCTTATTTGAAAACATCTTTGCTTTCTAAGATAGGCCGAGGGTGTGATATGAGTGAAGGCTGATGTGGCGGTAGCGCTTCCCAAAATATATAGTGCTGAACTAGTCAGAGTATGCATACAATCTTCCACACTTCCCCTGGAAGGCCAACAGAAAGATGAAAAGGCTGAAACCAAGTCCGACGAAACAGATAATCCGTCAATAGATAGCATATCCTACACCAGTGCCCTCACTACAAGTTCGGTTGTACACCACTCGACGGCAAAAGCTGCGTTCTAGTTGGAATCACCCCAACCTTGGCCATACGGTCAAACGCCAAAAGATGGCCCTTGCCTACTGACCTCTCCTCCGTGAACCCGAAGCTACGGATCTTGTCCAGACTGAATTCACGATTTCGATCCAATAGTTTGAAACCAGCGTAGACGAAGAGCCAGGTTTCTGGTCCGATATCCCGCTTTTCGAGACCGTACTCCTTGCACATGCGATCGTAGTCGTCCTGGTGGTCGTACCACCACTTGTCGATCGCTGCGTAGTCCTCCTGCGTTGGTCCTGTGGCCTTCAGACCGAAGTACTCCGCGAGGATAGGCCATTTGGCGCACCATGGGCCTGGAGTGGCCGTGTCTGCGATGTTGAATGCTTCTCCGTTCGTTTCGTGCGGTTTCACGACAGACAGGTAGATCTCTGCTCGCGAGATTATGTCTTGAGATGAGTCTGTGAACGTGTAGACATAATTGGTGGGAGTTCCTGGAAACGGAATAGTAGCGCCGTAGCCGTACACATAACGGTATAGGGAGAGGTAGAGAGCTATTGGCTCGACTGTGGTCATGCTTGTGGTACTGGGTACATGGCCTGGGTATCCTCTTGTTAGCACAGTTTAGCCTAGCATCTCATGGTAGGCGTGTCCTACCTATGATTTGATCTGGGCGAACTTCACACCAGCCCCAGCTCTTCCCCTGAGCTGCTTTTCGGATTAAGTCAACCTGGCCATAGTAGAAGATCTCGTCACCGTATGGTGATGGGACACGCGGGGCGTCTTCCCTCAAGGGTGTATTGAAGGTGAGCTTGTCGATGTGTTGAAAAACCGCGACGCCGTAGTGCTATACAGTTAGGTTTATTGTTGACTCGATATTGGCAGGGCATAGCATACATTGGTACCTGTTTGCAGCACGAAGAAGGCCATGTTCTTACACAGTGTATCGCAGGCATGGACAGCATTGTAGGTCATGGCAACGTTGATGCTCTTGATATCCATCACATTTTCGGTGTATGCAGTAGCATTGGAGTACGCTGAGATGTTAGTAAGAGATACTCAAATGATATAATACGCGGTCAACTGTCAATAATTGATATCTTACCGAGATAGTATACATGGGTGATCTGATCTAGCTGCGGGATTGTATCACGCATTTGGGTCATCACTTCATCCAGGCTACCCCGTAGGTTAATGCCTGAATACACCTCCAGTCTCGGATCATCGGGGAGCCCTAATTGTCCCCGCGTTTGGGGCCGATGCGTCAGGCCGATCACCCGTGAAAAGGTGCTGCGAGTTGGATATTCCAGCAGGCTCCTAGTCACAGCCCAGCCAGATATCCCGCTTGCGCCGAAAACCAAAGCGACTTTGTCGCCAGAGATACTGCCCATTGTGAACCACGCCTAAGGTATAATGAATAACAACATGAGAGGAAGAAAGGGGTCTCCCCCACGCCCCTTTTATCATTATAAGTCGAGTTTAGGTGAAATAGGAAGACCAGGAATGACCCGCTGTCAATAATGACAGAGCCGTAAGGGATTGGTCGTACGCTCCGCCGTGCCAACCTAATCCAGCGGGGGACATATGACCCCATCATTCTTCGATAGGCGAGATGCCAAATCCAGTAATAACTGGATCCCGTTTCATTATGAAGTGCTTTGTTAAGAGACGGGGGCAATTATAACACCGGACGGAGCCTTTTAGTGGACATAGTGTCGAAAGACTAAAACTTACACGTCATATTAGTCGCTGATTCCAAGGCTTTGACAGAGATATCAGAAAGCGGCCCGGCCTCTGAGTTAGATTGATTGATGGGATCGACTGTGCACATGTTTGCCCGTAGCCAGCTACTGCTTCCAAGTTTCCTATGCCTAGTTGGTCATAGATTGGTGTTCATATCCACCCGTGTGCGCACCAATTTGAGGCCGTTCTTTTGCCCCACTAAGTGCAACGAACGGTCTGTTGTCTCAGCTGGCTAATAATGTGGAATCACTTCATGTCCGGCGACCAGTGGTGCTCTCATTATGTGGGCTCTTAGGTCCACGCCCGAGACTCATTGGGCCTTATGGCAGCCTTCGAGATTGTAGGCTGAAATCCAGATGCGCCCACAAAGAGTTTCTCTTGTCACCAGACATGCCCCTTTCTTTCAGAGAAAAACTTGTGTAAGTATCTGAGACTGCAAATCTACCTAAGCCCAATGCTAGGCCTGGAGAAGACTATGGGTAAATTGAGAGAGGAATTGAAAGACCAAGAAAAGGGAGAGACATCAGAGACCGGAAAGGAAGCTAAGCCCCGTGACAGGGCGCTAGGCCCATTATAGGACCGGGATCAAGCCATCCCGTTGTGGGCTTCCCACTAAACTATCTATCAACAATCAAACTAAAAGTGCATCTAGATCCTTGCTCCTGCTTTAGCCCTCGATGCGATTCACCCGTGCTTACTGTGGGACCTAAGGCTAGATATATCTCTTGCCTAATTGGCTATGCCTTCTCTTGACTTCATTTAATCGGCGCATGGCTGTTTCTGTTCAACCCGAACTCCGAGGCAATCAGTAATACTGTGAGTGGTGATCCTTTCCCTTCCGGCCGAGTAGCTGGCGACAACATGGCAGCATCCTTGTACTTACTCCCTCACACAGGCCAATCAAACACTTGAGGCACCCCTCTGTTGATTCAACCACCTCCTCCACAGAAGTCTGGAACATAAACCCTACCGGCATGACCCTGGTTAGTTAGGCGAATGCAATGGGCCGCTTCTCTTGCTCCAAAGTTGGTCTAAACCGACTTATAATATAAAGAAATGCCGCACCCGATCACGACCGAGGCTCCTTGAGCACTGCCTGTCGTTGCAAGGTCTCGAGATGCTGCCGCGATCGCTGGGAAAGGGTACGTCCTTCACGGGGCAGCAAACGACGGTGCTTGGGATTGGGGTAGCATTTATGGCATTTACCTCGGCCGTAATTGCCCTTCGCATCTATGTCAGGACACTTTTGCTGCGCGCGTGGGGAGCTGATGACGGTGAGCCGAATACCGTATCCATGTCCTCCCATATTCACTAACAGACATGCAGTCCTCATGGTAATCGGAACTGTAAGCATACAGCGACAACCCAAGGCTCCATCAGGTGTTGACCTTTCAACCAGATCTTAACATACGGTCTCTCTATCGCATCAATTGTGGGTAGGTCCAGGCACGTGGAGACTGAAGTAATTGACTTATTGACCGTGGCAGCCGCATATTATGGTGTTGGCAAACACTGTACGCCGTTTACTGGTTCTCTTGAATGTACCCCTTCTAATGTGAACTCAAGATTCAGATGTTCCTATCGAAGATCGGGTCCCTATGTTCAAGGCAAGTTATAGGGATACGCTACCGCCACACCGGCCAGGCTGCCTCCACATACTAGCCTTCGCTCATGCCACACCCTCCACCTACCCTACCTGACACTTTATGTATGTCACCGTCTGCGCGAAAACTGTTGCCTAAGGCATTTACATGGTGTCTCAGGCATCATATTGGTACATTGGCTGCGAGCTTGTGACTCCAGGCAAGATCTGAAATAAAGGGAAGGTGAAGTATACCTGTACTTACAGACAACAAGCCTTGCCTTTTACGTTAGGCAGAGGGTGTGGCATGAGCGAATACTGGTATATGGAGGCAGCCTGGCCGGTGTGGCGGTAGCAGCTCCCAAGTTATAGTCCCAGGTCTAGGAAGAGTATGCCCTGTTGACTATAATCAGTGTATATGGGCTACACGCCTCCTCTACGTGCTGGGCTTGTGTTTCATCAAGCTATCTCTCCTATGGTTCTATCTCCGGCTTGAAACACGACGTTTTATGCAATGGCTTGTGTACTCTGTTATCTTCATAGTTCTGGGAGTATCGATCTCAAGCTTCTTCGTTGATACAATCTCCTGCATACCACCTTCTAAATTTTGGAATTCATCCAAGTCCGGACATTGCATGTCAACGGCGTCCCAGCAGAAGTTCTATGAGGTTAATGGCATCCTCGTCATTGTCATGGATATTCTCATCTGGGCTGTTCCCATTCCGATGCTATGGCGTGTTCGTATCTCTTTGGTAAGTACAAAAATAATCATCCCCTGCTCTTTTGTTACCTACTGATCATCATCTTGCAGCGAAAGAAGATTGCAGTATTGGGAGTCTTTAGTGTAGGCCTTTTGTCTATAGCTGGTACGTTATCCGTTCATGTCATTGATGTTTCTTGTTCTCTCTCTCTTTCCTCTTTCGCTTTCCTCTCCCACTTTTCTTTCTCCTTTCTACTTTCCTTTCTTTTTCTCTTTCTTTCTTTTCTTGGACCATTTTCTGATTAACCAATGCAGCTGCTTGCGTGAGATATAACACCGTCTTGCAACTAGCCAACAATCCAGACGAAACATACGTGCTGGCTGCCTCGCTTAATTGGTGTGGCATCGAAGCCTACGTCGGTACGTATCATGTCCCGTCCAGGACATGTCAGGCCTAGGACTAAACATCATACCTGTAGCCATATTCTGCGGCTCCACTCCGGCATTATATGTCTTTGTGAAGCGCTACCTCCCACGAATGCTGGGCCCGTCCTACGTGCATAATCCAACCTACTCAGGGCAGAGCAATGCGAAAAGATTCAGCGCGCCATTCCGCGCCGTCTCCCGCCAGCGCATGAGCGAAAGCCGGCTAGGAGAGAGCCAAGATGCATTACATGATGGCGATGGCATTATGCTTAAGACAGACATCCACTGGGAGGTCACTGATATAGATGCGGAAGGTCGACTGGACCCGCACCATGTAATTATCTGAGGATTCGGTCCCTATAATTAGAGCAGCAGATGAGATCAACGTGAGAATTTTGCGACTGTTGTATACGGCGGCACGTCTGTAAGAAAATGTGACGATTCCAGGCTCAAAGTGGAAAGTTTGAAGACCCACCGGACTAGTGAAATCCGTCACCGTCACTTCGTCGTCTGCATTGCTCACTGCATATTCTTTCTTCATGTGCTTCCCTCCCCTCCTCTTGGCAGGGACTCCTCGAGTCGGTTAGAGCCGCCTGTCACTGCATCTCCGCCGTCTGTCCCACGGAACGTTGTTCCATCATCTTTCCCAATTACTATACCTTTTCCCGACCTCTAAACAGTCACCTGCAATTACCAAATACATTTCTATCTAACCGCATACGTCCGAAATGCTTCCGACTCTTCCGCCGAAAATAGAAAAATAGAAACCGAAGCCTGGTATCATAATCAAAGCTAGCCCAAATTTCCCGTTACCTGGCATCCCCGCCATCACCATGAATTCCTGTTAGTCAATCCACTCCCAGACCTCCCTCTCATCCCGAGCTATTAGCTTCGGTGGGTCATAAAAAGTATTCCGGATTTTAACAACCCATCAGTCTTCTATTCCACCAAGCACGCCAAGACATCATACTACCACATCCCCTCCACCCTCAACTTAGAAGACGTCCAACAGATCCTCCGCAACCACTCTACCCTAGCACATATATTCTGGCCCCAATTAGCAAACGATCCAGAAAACCTTCTTTTCGAAAACCAAACCGGTCCTAGCACCACGGAAATCCAAATCCGCCCAGCATCAGGTTCCGGTCCCGGCCCTTCCGGGACAAAATGCAAAGCTAGCATAACTTCTCACCACGAGGCCAGAGAGGTCGTCGTCGCCGAGGAGATGCCTCTCGGACTTCGGATGACGCTAATTTATAGGGTTTCTGACGAGCCTCCGCAGGGTATCTCGGCAGAAGAGGGTGATGGCCTGCTTGCGTTGGCTGACTCGCAGCCTTCTACGTCGCTCTCGGACACTGGGTCACGAATAGGGCTGTATCTGGAGGTAGAGAGATCAGTAATGGCACCGAGACCTCTCTCGATGCTGGTCAAGACGACAGACGGGCCGATTGTCAAGACGAAGAATCTGTTGTTCGTATTAGATGAGTTAGGGAACGGGAAGGAGGTGGATGCTGCGTTGGATGCTCTGAATGAGCTGGGAGAGTCGGATGATGAAGGGGACGAGGTGTTGGAGAAGTATAAGGTGGATTGAGATGCATACAGCCACTTACTCTTAGAACTTTGGACTAGCCGCTACTATATAATCATACATTGGTAGACTTAGATCATTATTTTACTGCTGTGCCTGCTGCAATCTCCTATTGCGGGGCGGCGACCTTATAGAGCCACTTTGCTAACGGTAAAATCATATATCCCGACCTATGCATCTGCACCAACTCCATCCCTCGATTAGAGCCAGGGCTTTTCGCATCCAACGCAACCCAATCCCAGGCATTCCCCTTTCCCATTCCATGCAGGGTGAAGGAAGATAGTGATAGAGGCTGTGAAGGCAAATAAATGAATACCAACATGAACTGGCAAAATAGTATCATCAGGCAGGGATGGGAATGAAGCCCCATCACCTCTTCCTGAAGATTCACCGTACCCGAATAGGTATATAAATGCCGCCATTTCCCTCCGAAGCGTCTTCTTCTCTTCTTCCAACACCCTCATCTTCATGGCCTTGCTGCATCTATAACATAAACAACTAAGAATCTTGATGAAGTCAGGAATATGATCATATTAGGAATACTGAACATGTATTTACTTTA